ACACCAGGACCTGTTGATGGGGAAGACAATCAATTTGTGATAATTTCTTGCTGGCAATAATTTTCCATCCCATATTTCCTGCTTTTTGTACAGTTCTGCTCCATGAGAAACCAAAGAGAGCTGTTACAATGCCTCAAATCCCTCCCTGCCAGGGCTGGGCAGACCTGCCTTCAGTCCTGAAAGGCAAGAGTGGTTTTGCACAGCTTTCCTGGGTCGTTATTACAGGGTGAAGGTGAGGGGTTTACTAGGACACCACGTGTCTAATGGGTGAAAAAAAGCTTTAAACAAGGTGATGCTCTGGAAGGACATCCAGTCCTCACACTCAGCTGTTCATCTGCTGTAATTGCTACAGGCTTGTAATCATGGAATAAACAGACCTGGGTGTATGGTGGGAGATAGAACAATTAAATACAAATAAGCTAGAAACAATTCCTATCTGCTCCATGAACACAGAAGCCCCTGCACCTCTTTCTCTGAGCAATCACTGTCTCTGCATCAGCTCAAAGCAGAAAGGAAGGCTGATGTGAGCACCCCCACCACACCAGGACCTGTTGATGGGGAAGACGATCAATTTGTGATAATTTCTTGCTTGCAATAATTTTCCATCCTATATTTCCTGCTTTTTGTACAGTTCTGCTCCATGAGAAACCAAAGAGAGCTGTTACAATGCCTCAAATCCCTCCCTGCCAGGGCTGGGCAGACCTGCCTTCAGTCCTGAAAGGCAAGAGTGGTTTTGCACAGCTTTCCTGGGTCGTTATTACAGGGTGAAGGTGAGGGGTTTACTAGGACACCACGTGTCTAATGGGTGAAAAAAAGCTTTAAACAAGGTGATGCTCTGGAAGGACATCCAGTCCTCACACTCAGCTGTTCATCTGCCTCCAAAGCCACTACAGCTTCCCTGGGCAAGGACAGTGTCTCTCCTGCCCTTCTTCTCCTGTTATCACTGTCAGAGCAAGCACAGCCCAAAAATGGAATCAAACCTGTTTTCCTGGAGTGGGACCAGCCCTGTGGCAGGCACAGCACCACTCAGCAGCCCTGGGCCTGCCACTGGGAAAATCTGCAGGTTTAAATCAGCACTGAGAGATCCCCACAGTAACCTTTTTTTTCCAAGAAAAGCAAGAAAAGATGACATCATCTCTTTGGAAGGCTGCCTAAAGCACACTGATTTACAGCAGGGAGCTCAGGAGAACACAGGAACCTCTGCCCTGGTGTCACGGGAGCTGCTTCTCCTCTGTGAGTGCCACACACCAGATCCTCAGAGCTGCTGGCCAAGGACAACCCCATTAAAACCAGTTTATAAGGTGTTCAGCTCTCAGTTTATCTTAGCAAACACAATATAAGGATGAACAGAGAGGGGTGGAAGATTGAAGCAAAAATAGGGAAGAGTTCCTGTTAGAAACCAGTGTTTGATTTGTTTTGCCTTATAAGAGAAGGGATCCAGTTCCTGGAGGTTTGAGAGGAGCTGGATGAACACACGTAGCAGATTTACCTAGTACTCCAGCTCCAAAGGGAGCATTTCAAGCAGATCTAAGTACCAACTGGTCTGCCAGGCATGGCACAGGGAAGGAAGGAGGTAGGAGAAAAAGCTCCTTTTCCACAGCAAAGGTGATTGAACACACAGGTGCAGACATCAGATGAGAGGAGGAGGTGAGCAAGGTGTCCACAAAGCCACCATGAACCCCAAGCAAAGTGCCACAGAGCAAACCTAACCCAGGGGGTGCAGACCATGCTCACCATCCAGATGGTTGCGGGAAAGATACTTGAGTCCTTCATCCAGCAGGATCACAGGCAGGGAGATCTTCATTACAACCACCCACTGTGGCCAGCTCAGGGGGGTTACCTGGAAGATGAGCTGCAAGGTGAAAAGGATTGGGCATGTCAGTAGGGAAGGAAGTGGGATAGTTTGTCATTTTAAGGGTCACATTAGATGAGCTGCAAGGTGAAAAGGATTGGACATGTCAGTAGGGAAGGAAGTGGGATATTTTGTCATTTTAAGGGTCACATATTTGCATGGCAAAGGGTGAGAGAGGATCATCCCAGGTACACGGAGGGAGAATCCAGACACCCCAAAGAGTAGGATTTCTTCAAGGTCTGTCATGATCCCAAGGTGGCTCTTGGCCAAGTTGAATCAAAAATCATGTTCTTCAACACTCCTGCAGATGGGGACAGTGAGGCACAAGCTAGGACTCTGTGTGCTCACAGGTGCTTAGCAGGGGACAAGGGACAATGTAACTTCTTGTGCACAGGGACACACTTCATCTAAAGCACTCTTGGGAATCAACTGCAGCATCACCAGCCTTGGACTGCAAAGGGAAGTGATGACTCCAAAAGGGGCTGAACCACCTTCTGGAGATGCCTACACCCCTTTGCACTGCCCATAAGGAGTTTATGACTTAAGTAAAGGTTCATTGGGTAGGGTGAGTCCTGGTCCTCATGTTGGGTTGAGTCACAGGACCTGGTCCTGAGGACACAACAGAGGCTTCCAGACCCCAAGATCGCTCCAGGGGTGTCTTGCCCACAAGAGGAGCATCCTGCGCTGCGCATGGAGGTAGCAGAAGACACTCACAGGCATGGGCTTGACGTAGAGGATGAGGAAGTGCAGAGCCATAGACATGATGATGGCCCCCAGCAGCCAGATGTTGAGCCATGGAGGCATCCGCAGCAGCGACTGGTTCTCAGACACACTGTGAAAGTGAGAGGACAGTGTCAGCCCCAGTAACCTCCTGCTCCTCACTCCTCCAAACTGGGAGTTCCATTCCCCTCCAAGGAGCAAGGTCATATGCTGTATCCCTTCTCTTCCAGACTGTTCAGCTTCAGGCTTTGCTGTGAATTGGACACTGAACGCAACCAGCCATGCCCATAACCAATTGTTCATGACCAAACTGCTAACAGATGCAGATCCAGTCCTTCCTCCACTGCCATCAGCACTAGCACATTGTCTTGGAGGAGTTTGTTTATGGAAAACCCAGTGATCCCCTGTGAGGATGCTCTGAATGGCTCTGCTGAGCTAAAACAAAGCCCTCAGCCCACCCACTCAAAGAGACCCTACACAAAATCAGTCATGTACAGAGCAGTCCTGCAGCCACCCCACCTGTTCAGGGCGTTGCACATTTCGATTGTCACCAGCACAGACAGAGCCATCGTGGTTGGGTATCGAGACTCGAAGATCTCACAGTCGATTCCTTCAAAGAGGGGATTGTCCTCAGTGCACCTCATGAAGTTCCTCTGTCGGCACAGGAAACTGCTGGTAAATACACAGCAGAGCAGCAGGAAAGGCAGGAGAGAGGAGGAAGAGTCGACTGGTTGGGGGCACATGATGAACTGGGTTGCTCTTAAATATCCCACAGCTGGGCTTTAGGGCTGTGGCTGGAGAGTGGCTTTGAGACTTTGAAGGGCAGTTAAGGAGGTGTTTCAGCATCTCCATCAAAAATACATCTTCCATCACACATGGCAATGGCACCTGCTTTCCCACCACCCTCTTCAGACATACACTAATGTGATACCAGATCCTTTTCAATGAGGGATCAGGTACAGGAGCTACTTTCAGCTTCTTTGAATCCAATTTTTCCCCACCATGCTGGTTGTTGGCAGAAGCAAGGCTGGGAACATGAGTCTGAGAGAGTGATTTTGCTTCTGGTTTAAATTACCATCTTCTCCGCCAGGATTTTGGGAACACTACAACAACCACAGAGGAAAAGTAGAGGAAAGACCCCAATGCCTGAATCCATGCCAGAATCCACACCCTCATCCATCTGCTCAACACATCAGCCTGTTCCCCTCTCGACTCACCAGCTGATGGAAGGAGACCTGTGGTCCCTCGGCGTCGTACAGGAACCACCAGGTCGCTGCGCCCACCGTGGCCAGGCCAACGTACACTGCAGTCAAGAGAGACACCCTTACCTCCAGCACCCAGAAAGGGCCCCCTACCCCATGGCACACCATGCCCACCCTCATCTCTGCCCACCAGTACCCACGGGGCTCACCTCCGACAGCCAAGTAGCGGAAGAAGAGCCACCCACTGATGAGGGGCTCCTTGGGGTTGCGTGGTTGCTTGTCCATGATGTCCAGGTCAGGGGGGTTGAAGCCCAGCGCAGTGGCTGGTAGCCCATCTGTCACCAGGTTCACCCACAGCAGCTGCACAGGGATGAGGGCTTCAGGCAAGCCCAAGATAGCTGTCAGGAAGATGCTGTGGGGGGAAAAACAGAGGTGCCAAATTAGAGGAGCTCTGGGCAGCCAGAGAAAGAGTCTGTGTTGTGCAAAGGGGAGTGAGCAGACACCCTGGATCCAAAACCCCAAACTGAATATTCACCCAAAGTCCTGCAGCTGAGCCTGCAGCCCCTGAGTCAGGAACCTGAAGTTCAGCACTGAATTTTGCAGCTAAAATTTGTTCTTGTTGCTATTAAAATTTGCTTTGCAGTTGAAACCCAACCACTGGTGTCCCCGTGGTCACACAGGTTCCTGTTCCCTGCCCAAACACTCCTGCTG